GCCAGCTTTTCCCGGTAAACCTGGGTCCCCCTGGGATGGAGAGAGCGTGGAGTGGTGAGCGTGTCTCAGACGAGCTCGGGGCGTGGGCACTGGGCACTGGGCACTGGGCACGGCCGGACAGGCTCGGGGAGAGGGGACTGACGACCTGGGGGAGGTCCCAGCCCAGGGTCACAGTTCAAGGGTAAAGGGTAAGAACCCACAGGGCAGGGGACTCACCGGCGGGCCCTCGTCGCCTTTTTCTCCAACTTCACCCTGTGAGACATGGGGGTCAGCGGGGTCCCGGGACCCCGGAGACGCCGGACACTCTACCCCAGAACCCCCATTCCAGGTCACCCCACCACGGGACCCCGGAGATGCCGGACACTCCACCCCAGAACCCCCATCCCAGGTCACCCCACCATGGGACCCCAGAGATGCCGGGCACCCCATCCCGGGACCCCGGAGATGCTGGACACCCCATCCCAGGTCACCCCATCCCGGAACCCCCATCCCAGGTCACCCCACCACAGGACCCCAGAGATGCCGGACACCCCATCCCAGAACCCTCATCCCAGGTCACCCCACCACGGGACCCCAGAGATGCCAGACACCCCATCCCGGAACCCCCATCCTGGGACCCCCACACAGCCCTCTTACGTCTCTTCCTCGGGGGCCGACAGGTCCTGGGGCGCCAGGCCGCCCAGGGTCGCCCTTCTCTCCAGGTGGCCCCGCGTCACCCTGAGGAGGAGGCAAGAACGGGGCTGTGTGTGGTGGCCAGCCCCGGAGGAGAGGGGACCCCACACCTTGGCCTTACCCAGGTCACAGGCACTCACCGGGGGTCCAGCTCTGCCAGTGAGGCCGATGGGGCCCTGCGGGGCACGGGGGGCACAGGACTTAGCTCGTCTCCCAGACACCCCCTCCTCTGACCCCCCTTTCCCCACAGTTACTCACCCGGCTCCCAGGGTCGCCCTTGGGGCCGGGGTCTCCAGGAAGAGCCAAGCCAGGAGGGCCCTGGGGGTGGGAGAATGAGAAGTCGGGGTTGGGGAGCCTTCACCCCCCTCCCCCCAACACTCCCTCACTCACCGGCTCCCCTTTGGCTCCCACAGCTCCTCTGGGCCCCACTTCTCCCTGGAGGGACAGAGCCCATCAGCAATCACGCCACAGCCCTCACGACCTCCCTGTGACCGTGACCTCTGCCCGGTGACCACCGCCCTCGCTCTCCCCTCACCTTCTCTCCTTTGACGCCCCCACCAGCAGGTCCCTGCAAACAAACGACATCAGAGCTTGCTGGCCCCCCGGCCCCCAGAGCTCATCGGCCCGCGCCCCAGTCCCGCTGGGAGGTCACGGGGTCACAGCACGAGAGTCAGCTGAGCCCTGGCTGGCAGGTCAGCCTCCTGCTCGAGGGCCTCCCTGTGCTCTGAGCCCCGCACTCACCGAGGCAGGGTCCCCGGGGCGGCCGGGCTCCCCCTGCGGAGAAGGGACAGAGGCAGAGATGGGACAGACCCACTGGGGAAGCCAAGACCCGTGTCTTGCTGCCCAGTCCCTGCTGCGGGGCCGGGGGTGGGGCACAGCCCCCAGCCACGACCCACCTTCTCTCCTCGGCGGCCAGTGGGTCCGGGTGGCCCCTGCGTGGAGACAGCGTGAGCCCAGGGAGGGGGACCCGTGAGGCCCCCCGCCCCCAGCACCGTCCCACTCACCTCAGGGCCCTCCGCGCCCGGGTGCCCGGCGACTCCCGGCAGCCCCTGGGGACGAGGAGGAGAAACGCTGGTGGGGGGGGGACGGGCAGTCCTGGCAAATGGCGAACCAGGGCCAGAGGTTGGGGTGGGGCTGGAGGGCGTCAGGCCAGACCAGGCTGCAGGTCTGCAGGGGTCAGACTCAGCCAGGACGGGAAAGCCCAGGTCAGTGCAGCAGGGTCCGAGCTAAAAGCAGGTCCCTGGGCTGAGGGTCAGCACTGTCCCCGCACGTGAGGAGGGGCAGGGGCGGGGCCGTGGGTCAAGGGCGAGAAGTCAGACCAGGAGGGGCCAGAGCCCAGGTCACTGGGCGCGAGCAGGAGGGCGAGTGGCTCACCTGGGGTCCCACCGGGCCAGGGGGTCCACGTTGGCCCTGATGGAACAAAACTGGTCAGAGCCCAGTCTGGCCCCAGACACCCCCCAGGGCCCTGAGAGCCCCCCCAGGCTGCACTTACCTTCTCTCCAGTCTCACCCACAGCCCCTGGCAGCCCCCGGTCGCCCTGAGGAGAGACAGGAGAGGGGCCTTGATTGTCCGCCCGTCTGGACCCTGAAACCACGATCTGACCGGGAGCGAACCCTTACCTCCTAACCTCCTCCCCCCCGCCGCCCCCCCCTGTCCTCTCGGGTCCCAGAGGGTCAGCCTCACCCCAGACCGCCCTAAGAGGGCACTTACTCGGGAGCCAACGTCTCCAGGAAGTCCCCGGAGGCCCTGGGAGGGGTGTAGGGGGTTAGGCTCGGGCAGAGGGTGGAGCAGGGGCTGAGGGCTGGGGGTCGGGGCTGGGGCCATGCCCCACACTCACCGGCTCACCCGGGGGCCCAGGCGGTCCTGGGAGGCCTGGGGCTCCATCCTCACAGTCCCCCTGAAGGAGAAACAGAGGGTCCATAACCTGCTCCCCACCCCCAGGCCCTGCCCCAGCCCCAGCACCAGGAGGTCAGGGGTCCTACCTTCTCTCCTTTCTCCCCAGGGGCGCCCGCGGGGCCTTGGGGTCCGGGGCTTCCAGGGAGACCCTGGGAGGAAGGGAGTACAAATGTGAGCCCCAAACTGTAAGGCCCAGCACCCACCCTGCTCCAGCAGCGCCCCCGCCCCTCTGGGGGCCTCACCGGCAGCCCGGGGTCCCCGGCAGCAGTGCCGCCCGCACCTGGTCCAGGGGGGCCCTGGCGAGAACAGCAGGTCAGGGGACAGTCACAGGGAACCCGCTCCCAGCCACCCCTGCCACCCTGTCCCTCGCTTACCCGCTCCCCACGGTCGCCTTTGTCACCCTGGAAGACAGATCGTGACCTTATGACCCTGGACCACCCCTCCACTCCCAGACACAGGAGGAAGGAGGGTCACCGGGCCCAACTGGACGGTGAAGGTCATGGGGTCACTGAGGGGCCATGGGGGGGAGTTGAGGGTTCACATGGGCTCAGAATGACCCGTCGGGTTCAAAGGGGGTCACCAGGTCACTGGATCACATGGAAGTCATGAGCCCATGGAGGTCATGCTGTCACCTTCACAGCTGTTCCAGGAGGTCCTGGGGGACCCCGAGGTCCTGGGTCCCCCAATGGGCCCTGAGATCCAGGAGGGCCCTGATGGAGAAGACAGCGTATAAAGCACACCCCACAGACCCCCCACCCGCCTCCTGT